TGAGCGTGTAATAAAATTAAATAAAATATTATCAGATATAAAATTAATATTATAATACGAGTAAATTTAATTCATTCTACATTATTTTTTCAGAAAAAACATTGTTCATATCATATCATAGTATAAGTGAATTTAATTCACTCTAAATTAATTTTTAAAAAAAAATTAACATACTGAAAAAAATTATTTACATTAATAGTGAAAGTAAATTAAGCTATTCATTATGTAAATAAAAAAAGTGAATTGCACTATTCATCACTATTTGCGTGAACACTACAAATAAATTACATTATTCACTCAATGTTTTCTTAACAATAGCCATGATAAAAGTAAAACAGAGTTGCTTTTGCTACTCTTCCATTTAAAATGTAAATTTATGCGAGACTCAAGCACTTAAAACTGTGATAAGTTATTAACCAAATAGTTTATAATTTTAAAATGCACGAAACTATCACATAACTAAATGGCATATAAGTCACAGTACATACTAAAAAGTTTACTAGCTAAATGTTGTTTATTTTTATGTTTTTAAAATATTTTTAAAAAAATTATTTTTTTATTTTAAATTATTTTTTAAATATTTTTAGATTATTTTGATATATTAATAATAACAATATTTTTTTTTAAAAAAACTGTAATTACACTATTAAACAAAGGAATAATATTTTTTTAAAAAAAAACTGTAATTACACTATTAAACAAACTATTATCGGGGATACAATCACACGACATGGGCTTTCGAGCTTTTTAGATATGTTTTTTTATCAAAAAAACTATTTTAATACAATAACTTTAGTTATTAAGTGAGATTTCAAGATATGATTTATATTATTTCCTAACATATTTTTTTAAATGAAAGCTTTTTGAACTTGAAATTTACACAGACCTATATTATCTCATGTTTAATTTTTATGGAATAAATGAAGATGACGATGAGATTCAAACTCATACTCGTTTAATGTTTTAAATTATGATAATATATCAAAAAATCATCTTAATTTTATTAAATAAAATCTTAAAATATAATTTATAGTATCTTTATATTTTTCAGTGTCATCATATATTGATACTCTTTGTATTTTTCAGTGTCATCATATATTGATACTCGTTTGCCAATAATCTAGGGACTTGCTGCTACAGATTCACGTTCTTAGGAAAGTTCTAGGGTTTTATGACCATCTAAAAGAAAAATCAAAGTTGCTTGGTGGAGGGGACGATCGAGCTTTCACCCAGATCTAACCTCGCGGACGCAGATTGAACTACACCTGAATAAGCAAGGAGCCTAATAAGGCAACTCTCTTGTATCAAATGTTATAAGATTATTTTTTTCTAATCATTAAAATTGAGAATTAATTCAAATAAAAAACAAGAAGTAAATAGAAATCGGATTTCTTAAAATTCTAATTACTATATTAGTTTTTTTTAAGTGAATATTTCATTGGTAGATAATATAAATAGAAATCGGATTTCTTAAAATTCTAATTGCTATATTAGTTTTTTTTAAGTGAATATTTCATTGGTAGATAATATAAATAGAAATCGGATTTCTTAAAATTCTAATTGCTATATTAGTTTTTTTTAAGTGAATATTTCATTGGTAGATAATATTTAAAAGGAAATGTACTGCACCAGCAGTTATTTTTCCCAAAAACATTAAATTTGGTGATTAGCGATGATTAAACAAAGTAAAATTTGAATATCCCAGAGGAAAATATTGTAATTTTAAAAGAAAATATAAATATAAAACCAAAATTGAACACAATCATTTGTGTAAAAAAAGAATATTTTGATCGATTTAAGTAATAAGAACAAATTACGGACGAACAAATTATTGAATGAGATAACATCATTCTTATTTAATTAATTCACTTAAAGATTCATCATAAAATCTTTGCTGTGGATCGGTACAAATTGTAGAGATCAAAGACACAAACAAGATTAATTTACATATGATCAAATCAAAACCACTTTCATTTATTATTAAATCAAGGAAAAGACACAACATAATATCCCTCTGGTGTTCTGTACGTGAGGTTGGCTTGTGAGAGATAATTGCTCCATAACTGTGTGCAAGGTAAAAAAATAAATAAAATTGTAACTAAACTAGAAGCATCGAACACTCGACCTCCCATGCCATATCTAGCTACTTATTTCCAGCATATTTATTTATCAAACAACTCGATGAAGCAAACCACCACTGCCATTGATGCCCACGGTTCACCATTTGACTTTGTTCACCATTTGACTTTTGCTGGGAAATACTGCAGAAGAAGAAGAAGAAGAAAGGAAGAGATTTAGAGAAAATGATACGTTATGAGGCTAGAAATCATTGATTGAGAAGTTGAAGAACGAAGCGCACCTTCTCGATGAGGGAAAGATAGTATGGCTTAACTTTTTCAACATCAATTGGGACCTTGCTCTTGCTATAGAGATCATACTTGCTGTCCAATTATAGTATATAATGTAAACAATTAAAATTAGCTTTAGTGATAGAGATTACTTAGAATTAATGTAATTAAAGAAGAAAAAATTGACGAGAAAAAAAGGCAAGAATTTATCATAATTACAAGGAAGGAGAAAGGTGGTCAGAATCTCACTTGAATATCTGAAGCCACTTCAGGTTCTCCACATCCTCCTCATTCATCAGATGCTTGTATGCTCCACGTGAGTGTAATGCTACAAAATAGATAATTCAAATGATCACTTATTATATTGATTAAACTGCAATAATTTTTTTCATTTTTTTATTGCTTAACAATATAGTTATAGTTGTTTTTTATATAATTTTTTATATTAAAATATATGTTAATGATGATTTTTTTAGTTTTTAAAAATTATTTTTGATATCAACACATCAAAATAATTTTAAAACACTAAAAATATATTAATTTAAAGTTAAAAAAATTTACTTTTTTTTTAAAATATTTTTAACCCACAAAAACAAACAAATAAACAATTATGAAAAACGAAGAAAAAGACCATACACAGAAAAGAAAGAAAACCGATATTTTCAAAAAAAATAAAATAAAGATGCTTAAGATTTTTTAGAATTTAATTATCACTTTTAATATTTTGATAAAACAGAAAACAAATTCATTAAACAAAGTTATTTTAGTCTCTAATAAAAAAAAACGAAGTAAGATTAATAAAAAGGGAACAGAAACAACATCATCTTTAAACTAATCATATATAGCAGCATGAAACCAACAACAAAAAATAATATTTTAATCTTAGTTCTTACGATAAAATGAGTGGTAGCGGATAACAAACAAGCCAGCAGAAGGCAGGGTCGTGCCATTTTCCTTTGCAACCTACATCAATATACTCTTTGATTAGTATTGTTTTTTAATTGGCAATTTGGCCCTATAAATATGCTTAGAAATTAATTAATCTCTGGTATCTTAATATATCTTTTACCAAGTACATGTAGTCATCGTGCCCAAATGACATCAACACGTTACTCAGTCCACATCCTTCAGAGTAAACTCCAGTCTTGGTGTTGTATTTTGGATTGTTGAAATCTGGGTTTTCCTTGAAAAACTGTCATTTGTAGATTACTTGTCATTGATCACAAATTTGACTATGTTTATCTCCATCGTAATCAGGATTAATTATTAAGTTATATTCGTTAATTAGACAATGGAGACTTTCGACATTAATTTAATACCTGATAATGGACGTTGGATTCATCAAAAGCACAGCCAACAGGGAATATATCACCTACAGATTGAAAATTGAGATTCATAAGTCAAAAAAACAAATAAATTAAAGGCACTCATATTTTTACAAGTAGCTCACCTACAGCAGACCATTGAGGTAATCCTCCAAATCGAGGAAGTAGAAGGATTTTTCCAAGATCTGCATGTGCAAGCAAATTAATATAGTAATATTAATATATATATTTATATACATTTATTGAAATCCAGAACTAGAGGGAAATCACGTAAGGAATTGTATATTACATACCATGGATAAGTGCAGTCAAGTGCAACCAATCTTCGTTAGGATAGTCTTTTCTGATTGCTTCAGCTGACTGCAGCAAGTGCATGATTTGTGGCTCATCCAAGTCAGGATCACTCTCGTCCACAACGTCATTGAGAAGCTCACAGCATTCCCATATGCTCATCTCTGCCTTGTCCAGTCTGCTATATTCTTCCCTCATCTTCTTGACCTGCATCGATTTCCATTCCAATAGTGCAATGACAACATGGATTATATTTATAAAATGTTCTTTTACAGCAGTACATGTCAATATTTTCTCACGTAATCATATGTTTGGTTAATGTGTTGCAGCCTGTATGTTCGTTCAACAATCTGGTGCCTTTCATTCTCTGCATTTTCGTAGTCCCTGCAGTCACAATTCGTATAAGATATTCATGCATGCCCTTTATAAACAAGATCGGAATTAATCAACTTTTGAAAATCCAGAAAACATTAGAACATGTTTTGACCTAAATGATTGGCCAAATGCATTACTATCTGGCATCGTGAATCCACCATCAGACACCAACTCATCGGGGTCGACATGGATTTCCTTCTTGTGTTCTTCTTGCAAGCAAGGGTAACAATCATAATTAGAAGAAGAAATCTTAGCATGCCAAAAGCATCCATGGAGAGGGAAAAAGATAAAAAACTCAGCATATTATCTAGATGACAGGAAAAAGAAAAGGAGAAGATCGATACATACCATAAAGCTCCATATCCTCGACAGGGTTCTCAACAATGACAGTCATCTTTGAAGGATTGAAGCAAGAGAACTGCTGCATGCCTGGGTATAAGAGGGGTGTTCTTTATAAGGGATAAAAAGTCCCTTGCTATAAAATACGAGACTTTGGAGTCCTCGTAACAAAAAATTCATGATAAATTGGATTAATCTTGAATCCCATGTGTGGTCGTGTTGGATTTCTAAATTAGTAAATAAATAACTTGGAAGATTAAGCTGTTTGCCTTCATGTTAATGATAATTGCTGACTCAGTCCTACGTGCTCATATCGTTATCTAATTTTGGATTAACTATGGAATTAGGAAAAACTAATTATGCTTGGAATATGATCTATCATTTCTGTTGAATATCTCTAAACGATTGAATTCAAATTAATGACTAGATTCTCATGTAATTCTCACGTAAGACATTCCTTCCATGGTTATCTCAAATCTATAAATAGGTGAGAAGGAAGGATTTTTGTATTTACTCCTCTATGATTCTCTTCTGTTTAAAACATTAACCACCCATATGTTTTGTTTATCTTTAATTATGGATTATTACTAGAACATTAACCATGTTAATTATCATTTATGTGAAAAAAATTGCCCTAATAAGATTAGTATTATATATGAGCTTGATTGATATTACTGTGAAATTTATTTTTTAAAATATATTTTGTTAAAAATTTATTTTTGATATCAATATATTTAAAATAACTATATGAAAACAACAAAAATTTTAAAAAAAATTGAAAATATAATTTTTTAAAAATATTTTTAGAATGTAAAAATATTTCTAGAATGTAAAAATAAACATGCGTTATATTTACTTAATCGTAATAACACTTAAAATTGAGTGAAGGGCTCAAATTAAACATGCTTTATATTTACTTAATCGTAACAACACTTAAAATTGAGTGAAGGGCTCAAATCTTATTTAGATAATTTTTGTTTACTCAAACATACAAACCCTTTGTATCTCAAATTTAATGCCTGTGAAAAAAAAGGTATATCTTCCGTTTTGTGTTGTTTTGATTGTATATCAAGCTATGAACTTGAAGTCAAAGATCCAAGTAATTTTTTTTTATAAAGAATTTCAAACTAATTAAAACTATAACATGAATATTTTTATAAAGATACATAATTCAAACTAATTAAAACTATAACATGAATAATAATAATAATTACAGGATTGCTAATAAAAACAAAAGAAAGAGATTGATGATATATTTCTTAAATACAAAATTGCAATCTCATATCAATGTTTCTACCGTGATGGTAGCTATCTTCGTAGAAATGGTAAGTTTTGATTTCGATATAAACATGATGATAATCTTTTCTATGTTTTATAGTGTCAGCTGAAATTAAATTTCTTTTCTTGATAAAAATAATATTTATTTTTTATATTATAAGGTGTTTGGAAGTATGATAAAAATTATTTTTTAAAGTATTTTTATTTGAAAATATATTAAAACAATTTATTTTTTTATTTTTAAAAAACTTATTTTTAATATCAATATATCAAAATATTTTAAAAATATAAGATTATTAATATTGTGCATGATTCTCTGGGAAAAAAATTAAATCATAAAGTTAATCTTACAAATTAGTTTACGATGAAAATAAAAACATACATGTTAGATTATAAAAAACATTCCAGTAATAATTACAAAAAAAGGGTCCTTGCCGGGCACATCCAATTGATCTTCATGACAAAATGAAATGAACACAATAAAAAAAAGGAGTAATTCTCATAGATAAGAGGACACTTGTGCATATAACAAGAAAGAAATAAATCATGAGGGGAGAAGCTACAAAATAAAATATAAAATTAGTAAAATCAATAGACATTCCTTAAGATAAGAGTTAATTAACATATAATTAATTGGAAATAACAAACCCTAGCCGTTTTCTCTCCCTCTTCTCTCTAATAAAACCTTATCTCCCTGTTCATATTTTTATTCGAATTTATTAAAATGAAAATCATGTAAATATAATAATTAGTTGATTATCATATTAAAAAAGATAACAATAAATAAATTCTGCCATTGTACAATTCGGTTCATTGTATGTCTGTCCATCAAGGTTATTAAAATCATAATTTTAACATGACATAAAAAATACAAAACAAACTCGAATCGTAAAATTTTAAAATTATAAAAAATTTTAAAATATATTAACAAAAAAATTCATGCTTTAAATAAAAATTCATATATAATTCAAGCACCTGAAAATACATGTATCAAATAAAAATTCACATATAGTTTAAACACTTTAAAATACATGGTTTAAATAAAAATTCTTATATAATTTAAATAACTTTTTATTAGCTAATAATTAACAAACTCCAAACAAACAATCTGTTAGTGTGTTATGTAAACTAAAATCAATTTTATTGCCTTCATCTTTCTCATTATTCCTCAAACATTCATCGATATCATTAGCATTAAGAAAATTATTAGTGTCACTATTAGTATCAATACTAATATTATAAACATTAGTGTTATTTCTAGTATTAATACCAATATCATCAACTTGAATCTTCAAATCATCTTCAGTATCATGACTCTTCATTTCAGCATCATTATGAATTTCTTCTTCATCACTTTCATTTTTATTACAATTTTTTTTTGTGTTGCATTGTCAATAGCATCAAGCAAATCAATATTCAAATGTTTTTCTCCCTCAGTTATCCAATAATTATAAGATGAAAGATCATCTTCTATACCAAAATCATCGGCTTGCGTTTTGACTTGATTGTTATTCAATTTCAGATTGCATATTATAAATACCAAGTCATTCATTTTTCTTTACTTCAAACAATTTCTTCATTTTGTATTAACCAAAATAAATAATTCAAATTTATAAGACTTTTATCAAATATTTCAACATTTAAAATAAAAAAAACTCATCATTTTAAATGCATTCTAGTTACGTTCACATCTAGATGAAGTATAAGTCAAGCTTAGAACTCGAATTGCAAACCTTTGCACTTTTAGACATTTATTCTCATAAGAATCCCACCATTAAGTAGTAGTTTTTTTTATCTCTTGCTGTCTTGACAGCCTCAATGCCAAACAATCCTTTTGCATCCTTGAATGATTCAAGTTGCAATTCTATTTTGCACCTTTTACTTGCATTAGGCACCATCCTTTCTAAGCATTGATATAATATAATTTTAAAGTTGGCATTAACATTAAAATTAGGATTATAATGATAATGAGGACTCAAATAATAAGTTGCTGCATGTAAAGGCTTGTGGAGTTGAAGTTTTCATCTTGCATCAACAATATTCCATATAGGCATAAAACTACATAAAAAAACAATAAAAATATCATTACAATCTATGAATATTTCAATTGGAATATTTGTAAAGATGTTCATATTAATAAATGAAAACATTTGAAATAAAAATTAGCAAGATATGTATGTTTTTTTCATAGAACCAAAATTCATTTGCATCTTATCTTTTGCTTCATCCATTGCTTTATATATAAAACTCATAGCTGGTTTCCCATGTGAATCAACTAATCGAAGAACTTTAATTAAAGGATATGCTGCTTTAATACATATAGTGACATCATGCCAAAACCTATTGTCTAAAACATAATTTTGAATTCGTTTCCCTTCTTTTATTCTTACAAACCTACATGAACTCCACTATTTAGAAGTAAACATAGTCATCAACTGCATTTTATGATCAACATCCTAGAGTCAAATATACAGTAGCAAACCGAGTGACAACAGGTCTAATCAAATCCCTTCCTTTCTTAAAATATTTTAGCATGGAAATAAAAATAATTCTTGAATAAATATATGAGGTGATTCTCCTTCTTTTGGCAATAGTTACTTGATGAACCTCTAACTTCTTCTCAAAATCTTCTAATATCAAGTCAATACAATGGGCAGCACATGGTGTCCAAAACTCTTTCTTTTTTCTATCAATAATTGTCCTACTGTCTTATAATTTGCAGCATTATTAGTGACTATTTGGACAACATTTTCCTCCCCAATCCTCTCCACAATAGTATCTAACATTTTAAATACCTTATTAGCAGTTTTAGACATATTAGAAGTATCCACCTATGATAAAAAATGTTCCTTTAAGACTATTATCCAAAAAGTTATAAATACGTCTTTTTTTATCTATCAATCCATCAGATATTATTGAACAATATGTTTTTTTTTTTTCATTCTAGCTTGTATTTCTCAAGCAATGTCATTGTTTGATCCACTTTCTGCTTCAAATACTTCTCTCTAATATTATGATAGGATGAATGTTTGAAACCTGACCTATACTTTGTAACCAATTCAAATGCCTTTACAAACTCAAGGTTTTTTACATAATTAAATAAAATTGCACTATTGTAGAAAAACCTTGCAATTTGTTAACATGCTTCTTCTCTAATATCCTTTCTTAGCAAATGATTTAAGGTTGTTTGTGTACTTTCACTCCTATTAGCTACTCTTTTTTCTTTGTTCTTTGAGCTAATTTATTTTATTTCATTATCATCATCATTTGCACTATATTGATGAGCCTTTCTTTTCTTTTTATTTGCTTCTAGATTTTTCATCAAAACACCCAAAATTATTTGCTTAATATTTTCTGGAACTTGTTGACATGACTTAACATTCTTACGAGTGTAAGCTAAATGCTATTTGAAATGAAAAATACTTCTACTAATAATTTTTTGAAAATACTTGCATTGAACTTTTCTAGAATTCTTATCAATATCTATATCATATTGCATCCCACATTAAGGCTATTACCAGAAGAATTTTTTCTAGATGCCATAAGTTCAACAATTCAAGAATTAACTTAAATAAGCCCTTTAATCAATCCAAATATTTATTATTGTAATTAACTTTTTGTTATATATAACAATTCACAAAACTATAATACTAAAATGGCATCCTAAAATCATTTCATCATTCCACAGTCCATACCACATAGACACAGAGCAATAGGCAACAACAACTAATTAATTCAAATCAATTCAACAGTCTACACTCCACAGTATAAATGGATAGAAAAAAATTCAAAATTATTTCATCAATTCCATGTAATTCATTCCATTAATTCAATTCAAGGAATAAAAAAACATTATAAATATATAAATTACAGGACTAAC